TATTTGTTGGTTAAAAAAGCTTGAAAATTTAATAGAAGGCTCCTAGTATATTTTTTCAAAGGCAAATGAAAATTATTTAAAATCCTTAGTCACAGTTTTTTTTTTATAAGCATTTAAAGTTCAAAAATTGACAAAATATGGAAATATCACGAAAATTAGCAAATTATTTTGAGTTAAGAATTCGTAATAATTTTTCTTTTTAAATCTATGATTTTAAAATATAATGCAAGATTCCTTAAAAGATAATCTACCTTTGTCAAAAAAAAAAATGTCTTTAAGAAAGTCAAATTAAATATTTATGAGCGTTTGAAATTCAAATTTTTATAACATTGGATATTCACTCGATTTCCCATGTAGCGATTTCCTTATTTTGTTGTAATTCAAAAACGAATAACTGTAGATACCTGAAAATTTCACTGAGTGTTTATATTAGCATTTCATATACGATATACAATTTTGAAAATATTTTGTCTCTTTTTTAGCTGTTTACGGACATTTTCAGTTTTCAATTTTTTTAGTTGCATTTAAAGATCGAATTTTGACAAAATTTATCAAATTTATAACATTTTTAACTTATATATCTAAGGATTGAAAGTTTAAAACAAGATTCCACGTTAATAGTTCATTCTGTTACCAAAAAATCTAAGAACTACATTATCACAGTTTATTTTTATAGTCATTTTAAGATCAAATTTGGACAAAATTACATATTAAAAACCTATAGAATAACTATTTTAGTTATTTTGTTGTGGTTGTGTAATATTATTCGTGGGAACTTGAAACGTCTAAAGTACACTATTATATATCTATGGTAGTATCAGGGTTTGTTGTTGATGTATAACGCGTTATAAGTACCTAATGGATATTGTGATATGATTAATTTGGAATTTATTATAGGTACATTTTATGGGTGAATTTTTTTTAATAGGTACCATAGATAAGTATATACTATGTCTTATACCTAGTTTGACATAACGTCTATGCTCAGAATCGTTTTTCTTATACAATGATATTATATCATTGAATTCTAATTTAATATCATCCATTATATATAGTGACCCACTTGTAACCTACTGTACAGCAGAGCAACTTTTTTTGTTGTGTTATTGAACATATAAAATGCTTAGCAATTGATAATGAAATAATTGATGTTAATAATGAACCAATTACAGCATGCAATGCATTCAATGAGTAGGTATTTCATTACAATTGGCTCACCATTGTCTAATAAATTTTTTAAATCGCGTCATAGAGAAGTACATTATCCTTATGAGAAGAACTTTCATATCATTTTTACTGAACCTGTTGATAAGAATGAAGTTATTATGTTCATATTTTTAATATTTTTCAACTGATATTGTAATAATATATCAGGAGACTTGTATTACATTTTTACACTTTTTGTCCCAACAGATAAAACTTTATTAATATTTATAGAAAAAAAAAACGAAAAAAATTGAAAACTGAAAATGTCCGTAAACAGCTAAAAAAAGGGTAAAAATATTTTCAAAATTGTATGGTGTATATGAAATGCAATTATAAACATTCAGTGACATTTTCATGTATCTACATGTCAAGCTTTTTTAACCAACAAATAAAATTGTATTGATATTTTTTGAAAAAAAAATGGAAAATGAAAATGTTCCTAAACAGCCCAAAATAAGTCATAATATTTCTAAAATGTTATCGTGTATAGATAATGCTAATAAAAACATTCAGTCAAAATTTCATGTACCTAAGGTCATTTGTTTAAGAGTTGCATCAAAAACCAAAATCGATTTTTTTCGAAAACAGATTTTGCGTACAAATTCCCGTTTTTCTTTAATTTTTCTTTTGTTTTTCACAGCGCTTTTGAAAATTACTGCGACATTTTTACTTTTGAATCCCAAAAGTACCAACTAGATTCACTTTCCTATCATAAAAGATACTGTTGAAGAAAATAAAATCATTTTTACTGTCCTAAAAGGTGATGACAGACACAAAAATAAAAAACAAAAATACACACATCATTGTAAAAATGTATTGAACATTCATCGTTCCATTAAGCATCTAAAAATACTTAAGAACTACTAAAATTAATGTAAATAGATATATAAGTCAATCATTATTATGTGAGCTTTAAAATACTTTTAAACTTTATATAATATATTATTTAATGTATAGTATATGTATAGTATATGTATGAGTATAGTATAAGTATGTACCTTATTAATATGTATTCAAATTTAAAAAATGCTGTTCTTATATTTTTATTTTTTTCTCATTTCTTATTGTTAAATCTGTTTTTTCTTAGTTTATATTTAGATAAATAATATTACCTATCAGTAAATCATTAAAATTTACCAAAATAAATTTCTACCTCCAACACAAGCTTTGCTTATAGGAGGTATATAAAATTATAAATCATAGAAATTGTATGATGTTTGATTATAAATTGTAATAAATGGTTATTTTACATAAAAAAAAATATATAAATTTATGAATATTTGTGGGACATACATTTTGTACTAGTTCTTAAAGGTTATTAAGATTAAGGTACCTCTATCGATTAAAAAGTAAAATATTTTCTTCGATATAGGCAAGGAACTTAAGTTGACGAAATTATAGAAATTAAGACTATTATATCCTTTTTCATTGTATTAAAATATTTTATATTTCAATTATTAATTTGTTTTAATACTAATTCAAAATTAATAACTTAAAAATGTTATCAATTCTTATTTCTTATTTAAAAATTATATGAGATCAACTATTAAAATATATGGGTACCTATACTTAACAAAAAAAACATCTTAAGTGGTATGAATAGTATTGAAAAAATCTATAAAAATGTACTTTTGTATTTCCAATAATATGGTTTATTAAGTGGTTTGAGAGTAAAACACCTATTATCAATATTGTAGAAGAGAAGTTAATCTGTGCCTGTATAGAAGTCAAATTTTAATATTTGTAAATTGTAATTACTAAACTCAATAATTCAAATTCAAAAAGTAAAATATCATAAGTTTTAGAGTTAAATATTGGACATTGAAAATAAAATATCGAAAATCGACTCCTATACAAGCCTAGATAAACTCCTCCTTTTCAATTTGTATAATAGGTGTTCATACTGTAATGTCACTCAGTAAGCTATATTATTGGAAATACGAAACTAAGTTTCAGTGTTTCACTAAAATTCACATTTGTAATTAGAGTGTAAAATGTTCCGCTAATGACGTGCGTGCACGTGCGGGTGTGCTCCACTATTTATTTTATACACAGTCACCCACACTAATAATCACTTACTACGCACACATTTACACGACCCGCATGAACATCATTAGAAAATTGCCTATACCGAACTCCTTAGAAACGGTCGGTATGCATACCCCTTAAACATACTTTAAACATTCAAAAATATATAATTAATTCTTCAATACATTAATTTATACCTTAACTGTGTATCCTTTTGTTATGTCGTAATACATATGGAAATGTAACGAAGCACCGAAACCGGGAATTTCATCAACAGCGTTGCCAAGAAAGCTCATTGCCATTCCTATAGTAATATCGCTTCCCGAATAAAGATGCATTTTTCTTGTTGTATTATAATTATTTGAAATCGATTCCATGTTCAAACCAATTTCGTTTAGCAGAGCTCCTTCAACATATTATAATAACCAAATGTACAAGTTTCAACATTAATATTTTGAACCTAAAAATTCAATATGATGTCTATACATGGTTTATGAGTATCATACTTCCATTTAGGATTTCAGTTATGTAGTGACAGGTTCGATAAGCCTGGGAGTAATAGTCTTAGGCAAATCATTTATTGAATAGTACCTACCTATATTTTAAGCTATCTGAAATTCTAAAACCATATTTAAGTACATTTAATTCATTCATATTATTTTAAACACTATTTTTCTAGATTTTTGAGAGCTTAAGTCATAAACAATTTTATTTAGAATTTTCCCTTACAGAACAAAAGTGTTATCACACATAGCTAAATTGAAAAACAAATATTTTAAATGTAGAGAGCTGTACCTACAATGTATATATATATATCACAAACAGAGCTGACATATTTTGTAAATTATAACATGTCAAATAAGAAACACACTTTTTGAGTAAAATGTAAATCAGATGATTTTTGTGAAAATGTTGACGTATTTAAATCGAATTTTGAATGATTATTTTTTTGAGTAATTAACTTGTGTGCTGCCGTGCTGGTACTAAGGATAAAAGATACATTATAACCTATAAGTAATGTTTTTAGATGATATGATCAATTTTGTTATTAATATTAATCTATCAACATTTAATAATTTATAACGTTGTCTGAGTATAATTAAATAATAAAAAGGTACTATATTCAATAATCTATTTTAGTTTTTTGTAAAGCGATTTTAAACGACTATAGTCTTTAGCTTGTAACGGAACAGCCGTCACCATATACGCCGACCACCCAAATAATCACAACACATAACCCACGAGGCCAAGAAATACGACACACAGTAAACTTAGGGACAAATTTGGGACCCACTCGTTGAACATACGAACCCCTCAAGTGCGGCCATAGACAAGGGAGGTCATAACGAAGATAGCGGTGCTCTAACAGTCTAACCCAAATACCGACGAAACGGTGACAGAAACCGCACCGACAGTAGACACTGGTACAAGGAGGTACGGATCACAGTATGTATATGTTACGGCTAAAGTCCGAATTAAGCTAATGTGCACATTATCCGGATAATGTACATATTATCCAATTTCGGACTTTAGCCGTGAATAAAATCTATTAGGAAATGGATTAAGTATACATTACCCGGCTAAAGTAACTTTAGCCATCGTGTTATGGCTAATGTAAAATATTATTAATAAGTTCATAATATATATTTTATTTCAATAAAATTGATTAATATAAGTTAACAATTACATATTAAACTACATTTCATGCAATATTAACTTTATTTCTATTTCTATTTATGTCTATTTATTAGATAACATTATTTGTATTATTTATTTAAACATGGTAAACTTTGATGGCATTTAGAATTGCATAAAATGCCAGATGCTTTGCATTTGCATTTATTTGTTTTGCAATTTGATTTACATGCACAACGTTGATAACCCTGACCACCTAACAATGACATATTTTTTGCGATTTCTCTTAACGATTTTTTTGTATTTGACACTTCGTTTACTGTAATTAATGGCTCGGGACAAACATCAAATTGAGACCTAGAGTAATGTTGTTCTATCGTTCCTTCTTTATTACCTAGTTCATAGTATTCTCCATCTTTTATTGATACTACTGCAAACAGAATATTTCGCGGATCTCCTCTACCTCTATCCACGTCTGGTATGGCGACTCGAACTGTATCACCGATGCTGGCAGGTGGAAACTTATTAATTGACCTAAACTTCATTTTTTCAGCTTGATGTTGTAATGCTTTTATACTAAGGTCTCTTTGAGACTTAACCATACCCTGAAAAGTTATAAAAATATTAGATATGCAATATCCGATAACGAGACATGATAAACAGCCACGTGATGTTATAGAATCAATTATTATAGACTTATAGTGACCAGACGTACTCTTTTTCGTAGGACAGTACTCTTTTTTGACGTGTGTCCTAGTGCCCTTAACAATAGTGTTAAGTACATAATATTGTACTCTTTTCTTAAAATTATTATGGGCTAATACGTGTTTGCTGTTTACCTATATGTTTTTACTGTTTTTTATAATTTGATTATTAATTTATATTTTATGGTTCCTAAAGCATTATTATTAGTTGGTGGCACAATTTAAGATATACTAAATCGTATATATTTAAGTTTTACACTACCTACCTTTAAATAATAATTTATACTTTAGTTTAAGTTTACTTTAAATACTTCAATATCAAAGTATTTTCATCATAAAAAATAAGTTGACATTATAACTTCAAATCATTGGTTTTTATAATTGATAATAATAATAAAATAAATAACCTATGGAAATATGTTTTTTTTGAGTATGGAATTTTTTAGTATAACATAAATTAATTTAAATAATAATAATTATAGTAAAAATTAATTTTGAAAATAAATTACCTCTTTTGCACACAAATTACAAATACGCCGTTGATTGTCATCTTCGTTTAATATTGCTTGAATATTATTCCCACAAGACTCGCATATTTTATGTATTTCTTCGTCCTAGGAAAAATAAAAATAGTACCTAGTATAACATTTTGTAAATCGTATTATTTATGTAGGTATTCTTTATTATTTTTTCTATTTACCTGATTAGCATCTGCAGAATTGCTTTCTTCACTTTTTCCTCCAATATTCTGCAATACATTTTCTAAATCTTCTTCTGAAGATATTTTGTTAATAATTTCTGGTGGAAGAATAGACGTCGATAATCCAATTTTGATATCACTACCAAACATCGCTTGATATGGCGACCTTTTTATACCACTGTGAAATGCTCTATTCTTCATTAGTTGTACGAACCTCAAACCCTCGGACCAAGATTTTGAATTATTTGTTTGCATCCATGTAGTTAAAATATTTTGAATATCCTGGTTTGCCCTTTCAACACTACCTTGTGATTGGCTGTGTCGGGGCTTGCCGTGAACTATTTTCAAATTATTCCACATACATTTTAAATCAGTAATTATTTGATTTACAAATTCTCTTCCATTATCAGATTGCAGTATTATTGGAGCACCAAAAATACAAAATATGTCTATGATATGTTTCGCAACCTCTTCAGCTCGTTTTGTTTTTAATGCTCGTATTTGAACAAACTTTGTAACATGGTCTTGGTAGACCATAATAAAACGATATTCCCCGTCTGCTTGTGACTGCATGTCAATTAGGTCAACTTGAGCCCTACTATTCATTTCAGAGAATATCATTGGTTTAGTAACCAGACCTTTTTTTTTACATTTTTGCTTCATTTGGCAAGGTTCACAATACTTTAAATACATTAATATAATTTCTTGTGTGATATTTTTATATTTTTTCTTTGTCTCGGCAATCATTCTGTGTTTCCCCCCATGCCCTATATTATAATGGATTTCATGAAGAATATCGTACATACTTTCGTTTTGAACGTAGTAATAGATTGTTGAATCACCACCGTCTATTGGATAAATCAATTTGTCTTCTCCGTCAATAGTTATTACATCATATCTTTTTAAACGTCGGTAATCTGTGCTTGTTTTTTTTTTGTTTGATTTAGCGTTTTTAATTTCTAATATTATTTCAGAATATTTTTTTTGTGATAAATAAATCGAGTTCTGTTTTTTTTCCGCAGTTAATTTATTAAAACACAAGTAAAAATCGTCTTTTGAACTCATTTTATTCACACTTTACTCCGAACACAACTAAAATTAAACTGATGTTATAGGTAACATCAAGCGATTGCGATAAAATTTAATGATCGCAAGATAAATGGTAGACCCTACTATCTATATTCTATATAGTTCCATTTTATCTTTGTATGGTTTTCACATTGTAAAAATAGCACCATAAGTAATTTCATATCTTACAATTATATAATAATATATTTTTTGTACATTTTTTCTACCCAGTTACTTCATCCATCAATCCAGTGGCGCCCAAGATATATTTTTCAGGTGTAGCAAGAAAAAATTTTAACCACCCACCCACCCTCTCAAAACTCAAAATTATATTATTTAATACATTTTATCATATTTGTATTGATAATATTAGTAAATATTAAGGTATCAACCAATATAATCTGTGATTAATTATGAACATATTTCAAGTTTATTATTTTTTGTTATTATACCCATCCACCCCTTATTTTCAAGGTGTAGCGACCGCTACACTTAGAAATAGGGTTGGGCGCCACTGCATCAATCAATGGATAATGTACAAAATAGCCGGTTAATGTACGAAACTATGATTCTAAATGTTAAGTGTTTACCTTATCCAACTATTGTGGATTATGTGCGCATTATCCGGATAATGTGCACTTTAACCATGTTTCGGACTTTAGCCGTAACATATACACTATACCGGTAGATATATAATAATTATCATGTAATGAACTATGTCATCCAACTCAGATGCGACCATGTCAGTCCAAATACCAAATTAAGCTGATATAAAAACTCACCTTCACCCTCTCATTTTAAATCTACACTGGACACAATTCCACTCCAGAAAACTTTAACTCCAGGCATTTTTCAACTTGCAACTTCCGAAACATGCAGAAGATGCAATAACTCCTTTAAGAAATATTAGAGAAAATATAGAACAACAATTTCAAATTATATATAACTCAGTGGAGGTAAATACTACATTTAAAATTAAATCATACATTTTTGAATAAAATAAACTCATTTTTTCTTCTTCAGGAAATGGCAAACATTTTTGATATAGAAATAAAAATGAAAAGAATTACAAATAAGCAGAAACACTGAGCTAATTACAAGACCAAAAATTATGAAAACTTGGAATTAGTCGATTTTTTCAGATTTTCAATATTTATACCAAATTTTATTTCTCAACTAGAGTTAAGATTTGTGGATCATAAAAAAAAATGTTTGAAGGTAAGTTACGACGTTAAGTAGTTTATTGTTGGTTTTTTTTGTATAAATTTGGGTTTGCGTAAACTAATGGTTCATTCATCTTGCAGATTTTGAATGTTTGTTTTCCAATCAATCCTCAATATCTAAAGAAGAACTAGAATATCATTCAACAATTTATTAGAGTTGTATACGCCTTCAGTAGATTTCAACAGCAGAATTAAAGTTGTGGAAAGTTAAACTCACTAAGCTCAATGTTGATCCAAAAACTAGTCTTGAAGCATTTTTGCAGAGCGATTCAACACATTTTCCAAACATTAATAAATTATTAAAAATTGTATGCACATTACCCTCTTCGGCAGTGACCTCCGAGAGAACGTTTTCAATACTCAAATGAGTAAAATAGTGTATATTGTGTGGCAACGAGCCGTAGACGAGGGTCGAATTTCTCCCAAGACTGAAATCGCCTTCCCGCACGAGCCACACATACTATTTTTGGTCACGCCGCCTCCTGCATTCATCGATCACGGCAAAGGTAATGCAGGGACCTATGCAACAACTAGACCATAGTTCTACGACAACAATATTTCATGAAAGAAACGATTTGGTTTTATTTATTTTAAGTGTCGCGCAGCATGGAGGTTATAATATGAATATAAGATGTAACCAAAAGGTTATGTTTTTTAAGGACCTAGGTTATTAGATTTCAGTGTCTGGTTGTGCAGACTGATTAAGATACGCGCGTGATATGTGTGCCTAGCAATTTTTGGGATTTCCACTTTACCACCCGGCACTTTTAGAGTTCCGCCCGCTGGACAGGAAAAGGACGCTTTCGAACGCTATAACCGCTATCGAAAACCAAACGTTCGGTGCAGGCGTGACAAAAACATATTTAAGGAACACTACAGGTCAGGTAAATTTTAAAACAAATTTTACATTTACTATTGGTTACAATGTGCCTAAATTTGTCTTTAGAATCGACTTAATGGACTTTGCAGCTATTATAGTGCACAAAAATACAACGGTCACACCTCATGAGGTACTCATTAGTTGCAATGTTCTTTCAATGTCAACAAGAAAATTGGACTTTGTTTTTAGTTAATTAACAACATTTTGTACATAATACAACATACATACTATATTTTATTATGAATTAAATGTGTATATTGAATATGTCTATTAAAATATTTATATCTCCCCCCTGGAAATATCCTAGATACGCTAGTGCTCCGGAGCAAAAGCCAGCATCTTTGCCATAAGCATGAAAAAGTAATTTTCACTAATTGCAAGCTGTTCCTGGAACGACGAGATAGTCCAATAATCTCTAAATCAACACAAAAACTCAAGCTACAACGATTTATATTTTTCTCCCCGCGGGGAAGTATGGAATACGCTTCGCAAGATACCTAATAAAAGCACACCCGAACCAGATCTTATATCCAACTGCTCCTTGGAACGTGGAGGGAAAAAACTTGTTATAATTCTGTACAAAATGTATAATGCGTGTACCTGACTTTAATTCTTTCCCAACCAGTAAAAAATTTCAGACATTATAATGATTAATGATTCTAAGACCGGAAAAAGATCCAAAAATTTAAACAATCCAACTAGTTAATTTTATTAACAATATCACGGAAAACCTGAGCTTAAGACTAAAAACTACCGAGACTACTAGACATAGAAAAGGCTTTTGATAAGGTATAGCAAGAAGGCTTCTTATTTAAACTTTTAGAGATACAGGTACCACATCAATCACTCGATCTGAGTTGATTCAGTACTCAAAGGCAGACTATTCTGTATACAAATTGGCGAACCTAAATAAACATCCAGGCACATAAGAGCTGGGGTCCCGATCTGAGATCAATTCAGTCCTCAAAGACAGACTATTCTTCGTACAAATTGGCTAACCTAAATCAACACTCAGGTACATAAGAGCTAGGGTCCCTCAGGGGTCCTGTCTCTCCCACCAACTGTTCTCTGTTTACGTCAATGGCATGCCAACAGAACCAATTGCTAAAATAGCTTTATTCGTGGATGACATTATTTTTTAAGTAGTTAGTAAAAATAATTCGTGCGCAATCAAAATCTTGCAATCACAAGTTGATATTGCAATTCAGTGGAAAATAACTATCAACCCACTTAAGACCTCAGAAATCATGTTCAGTTACAAAATAAATAAGTTCAAACTGGTGATTTTCTTAAATTTGGATATTCTCCCATCAAATGGGATCACAAAATCAAATACCTGGGAGTAACTATTGACAAAAACCTAAATTTTTTCTCCCACGTCAATAATGTCTTCTCCAAAGCTAAATGAGAGAATTTTTCTCATTTACCACTAATACATACGAACATAGTCCTTTATCAATCATTTCTAAACTATTCAACTTTAATAAACTTACATCAGACCTATCATAACTTACAGAGGGCCTGCACGCACCGCCGTCACCATCGTCGCGCAGACGACCGATACCTACTCTGCAACTTAACTAAGTACTGTCGTCCCGAGCTTGACTCACTCAGCAGTAGCCGCTTCATCAAGTCACGCACTGCCAGTGGTCGACTCCGACCCGACATTATTGCACACATACGAACATATTATTCCCGATATTGTAAATAGGACCATATCACAGTGTTGGTTGCGTACGAATCTCTTCGCCTACTACTTAAAAGTTAAAGAAATATAAAAAGGTCAAAAGCAGTATTTGAAAACAATGATTACTAATGGAAAAAATGGGGGAGACCTTGCTTGGAGAATATAGTTAAAATAATATATTTTCCTTACCTATAAGTAATTTCATTAAAGTCGTATTTTCAAAAAGATTTTCAACAATTATTTCTGAATAAAGTGATTTCATTGTTGCAAGGTGGTAAGGTTTAATCCATTCCAGTACTGATAAACCATCAGCTATCTTTAAGAATATTTAAATATCTGAATAGTTATAGTAAATGTCTACATATTATTGATAAAATAAAATAATAATATTGGTATATTAAAATTTTAAAAATAGATGTATGTCATTATCAATTTACTTGACACAAATAAAGGTCGTACAGTTGAACAACATTTTTTCCAGTGATCGGTTGTCCGCAATTTTCCAATATAAACGACTTCAATGCTGTTATATTTTTGTCTGTTGAATAATCTACAATTTGTGTGGCATTTGCGCTAAAAGAATCAATAGACGGACATATTCCCAGTGTCCCAATAATCTGTGTAAAATGGTATAAGATGATAATATAATGATTAATAGTGATTAGGTATAGGTACTAGGTACGGCTAGGTATTACATTATAAACAGGGTTTTTGCTCTCATAAAAAGTAATTAGAACCAAGTATAATTGTATAAAGAAATTTAAAAGCCAATAAAAAATTTTACAATTGTACTTAACTTTTATGAAAGGGCTAATAACATTTTTTTTTACATACCAAATAAATGTGATATTCATCATACAGGTCTTATAATTATGTAACTAAATTACTGATAGAGTGATCAATATATATCTATATACCTATATATATAAATTATAATATATAAAAAGTATATATAATTATAATTATATTATATTATAATTTATAATGCAAAATATTACTAAGGATATTTTCTCCTGTGCAATATTTAATTTTTATTCATTTTCGTTAACCTATTGCATTTACAAAAGTTACAGGCATATACAGTAAGTATGCATGATCTAATGTACAAAGGACAAAGGTATAGCTATATACCTAAAATACCTGAATGTAATCAGATGTATCAATCATGAATTCATGATTGTTGTTAGTCATAATATTTAGTGACCTTCGAAGAGTAACTAGTAAGTATAGAACTTATCCTGTTCCATTTATTGATTTTAAACATTCAAAATACAGAATAATTTATAATTTTGAACGTAATGACTTATGTTTATCAAAAATAGAAGTTTATACCTAACACACATTTTTAGTTACACTGGTGGCCTGCCTACAGTCACTTCAACTATTATCTTTAATTTGGAAAGTGTTAAACATGTTCAATAAGTATTTATTAGATACATACATGTCCGAGATCTGGCGAATTGCTGTAAATGGGAATAGGCTGCCACACAGTTTCTGAGTTTGACCATTTTTGATAATTCTTTGGTGGATAAATTCCTGCCAAAACCATTGCCGCTGACATGAATTCCGACTAGTGTTGGTAGTTTTGGTGTAAAATTTCACTGTCCAAATATAAGTCACTTAGACCCATTATATAAGCGTCGAAACAACTGTCCTTTTTTGTACATATTGTACTTTCCTTTCTGTCAGTTAACACATGCAAAATATTAGAAAACAATACAATAAACATACCTTTTTAATCTAGCCATGTAAATTTTAAACTGAATAAATCATTTTATATATCAACTCTATATAAATATATAACTCTACGTCTGAAAACTCTTACTTTTACCAATAATTATACTTAATTATAACTATATTTATATAAACTTAAAACAAAATAGAGTCGTTAATTTCAATTTATTTAAAAAAAGAGCACACAACACAAAAAAAGATTTTTTAATTTGAAAGAATGTTCAATTATAAGAATAATGATATAGGTTGTACGTTTCTGCTCACATTATTCAATAAGTTATGAGCAATTGAAAAAAAGAAGCTAGACGGTCATTGGGCCCGGCTTGTCTTAATTGCCTATCTTATACGAGTAAAAGTTCCTCGCTTTACACAACGATTTACCAACCTAAAAATTGTATTTTAGATTCTGAGCGGAGCGAGGAAGCTAGTGGTTTTGCAATGGTGTTATTATTTTTTTTTTTGTAACCTGTATACAAAATATCTAGCAGAAGGAGTACTTCGATTCCAACATATAGTACCTACCTAATCTTTTAGCAAATTGGACCAAGATGGTACTTTAGAAAAGATCATTTTTTGATTTTCTTAATAGTTATTTAATGCCACAAGAAAAACCACCGACAAATTACTAAAAACCGCCACAAATGGGATTTTAATTTCTAACGCTTTGTTTATCACCATAGAAACGAATAAAAATAATAATACCTATTATAATTTAAATTCAACTTACAGGGTATAATAAATAATAACAATATCCAGACTCACAAACCGTCTCCGCTCAGAATCGTTTTTCTTATACAATTGGCCATGTAAGATTAGTGTCTAGACACTGACACTGTCACTCGACTTTCAAACATTTCCGCCTTCGAAACGAGATCTCAAAGTCTGATCACAACTCACAGCTAGTCTCATAGATCTCCACCGGTAGCAATAATATAAATGGTCTCAACAAAGTGAACAAAACTGAACAGCGTATTGACATAGTCGTCAGTCGTGAACCAAATACCAAATACTAATAAGTATTAAGTAATAATACCCATACATAATGCCTATAATATAGTATTATTTGCCAACCAACTTCCCAAGCGGTATTATTGTAATTTAGTATCGAATAGGTATCGTAATTCGTGGCTATATTTATCAGTTTTCCGGAAATCGCAATATCATAATTTATATTTTATTTCTCTACATCTACGGCTCAACGCCCCTATGGTCACTTATTTAAAATGTTTTAGTTAATTAGTACGGTGATAAATGATGGTAAATACCTCATTAAATAACCTCATTAATTTTCTAATGTCTAGTTACCGTAATTTCTTAGAAAAAGGTTTGGTCTAGAACAAATGTTGAGCATTCGTGTTAGAAATTTATATTTTAGTATAAATAGTAAATATATTTATACCGTAAATCATTTTATTTTTTAAATTTGGTTTCGGCTAAACAATTTTTAGGGGGCTTAGCCTTCAAAAGTTGTGTTTTTTCTAGACTACTGAACAACCGTATTAACTAATATTAACCCGAATAATAACGGTTATTAAAACACGAACGTATGTTTACATTTTTTATTCTGGTGTAGCTATTAGTAGCTCCATGAACTGACCACTACGCTATCTCACCGTGCCCGATCGTCATTTTGTTTGCGTACCCTCTGTAAAGAAGTTTCACTTCAAAAAAAATTGTTAAACCAATTCAGTGCTCAAAATCGAAATTGTAGTTTTTTGTTATCAATAATATTATGATGTAACATTGTATTGTCATTTCTCATTCTTAGTTAATATTGATACATTATAAACATTTAAACATTTTTATAACGTTTTAATGATTAATTTATTCATACTTTCGTTAATTCCATTATTCCTTCTGGAAAAGCATTCTTGTGTGGGTCTGTTTTGTATTTTATCATTGGTGCTCTATTTCCATGACGGACCAGCTGTAAACATAATATTATATTAGAAATACAAGTACATTTTAAGTAGTGATTTTTAATGTGTAATGTATAATTCATTTATCATTAAGTATCTTATTTAGTCTATTAGACAATACCATCATAGGTACCAACTGGGTTGGCCCATCGTCCATGCTAATCGCTAATCGCCCATATTATTGTATACAGCGTACCTAAATACGTATTACGTAATATCATATTGAAAGGTCATAATATTATATTGTTCTGTGATATTATAGAACCAAACATAGTTGAAAATAAGTAAAAATGTAAAACAATAATCATATTTATTCATATTATCTATGTATTAATTTAGCCGAATAGTATAATAAGAATCAGAAATTCTGAACATTGTATTTAATATTTATTTTAAGAAAATTTAAATGAACTTACAGATATTATAGTATTTTATTTATATTTTGTTATTGCCTTCGACCATCTTAAATGGCCTCGATTATAATTTATAATTAATTGTAATTTTTACGTAAGCACTACTGTACTACTAACTATAGGTAACTATTTCAGTACTTCTACAATACCTAGTACCTACTTACAATTGTAATTTTTTATTGTTAATATTTTTAGATTCTGAGTGAAACGATGAATGTATTGATTTTACAATGATGTGTGTTTTTTTTTTATTTTTTTATTTTTTAATTTTTTAATTTTTTTATTTTTGTGTCTG